TAACCTATCCATCACTTGCTGTATTTGAACTGCAGTGAATGTTTTACTATAAAGTGCTCTTATAAAAATATTTAGGCTGCCTCACATCTTTTGCAGCAAACAGTGCTCAAGCTGCACAAATCTCACAGTGGAAGTTGCACATGTCAGTGCAAAGGATATGGCTATCCTCGGTGCATCTAGCTAGATGTAGTTTGCTCCTTTTGTAGGTACAAACCACAGGAAACATCACATTATTTTAGTCATTTCATGCAGTTGTATCAAAATGTCACCGAGGAGAAACCAGAGGAGTGAAGTTGTTTAATATAGATATTTGTATATTTACTGATTTGATTTGATTTTGATTTGATTTATTCTTTCAAGCATGTAAAAACAGTTGATATGTCAACACACATAATTTTACACATATCCAACAAATGCTAATCCAATATCAATGTGCTTATACCTAGTACATGCTTGAATGGAGTAGGAAGAAGTCAGACTTATCCAGTCCTACCCCATGACATCATCTTACCATCATTGGTTTGCAAGCAGTAAATAATTCTCTTCTACACCACACAAGTAATATACTAAAGAATTATTACAGAGTACTAACATTCATACCCCACACCCACAATGTTCCATCTAATTAATCATTAAACCTGTTCTTGCATATATCTTGATTGACACATACCTTTATATTTATGTTTAAACTCGTCAATTCTATTACAATTTTTTTATGTCTACACTTAAATTATTCCATAGTTTTAACCCACTTATAGAAATACAAAATCTTTTTTTGGTTGTACGTATAGCATGAATTTTTAAATTTAACTGACCCCTTAAATTGTATCCCCCTTCCCTTTCATTAAATAGTTTTTGAATTCCACCAGGTAATAAATTGTTCCTGGCTTTATACATAAACACAGACGTCTTATCAGTCAGTTAAAGCAGCAACGTCTATAAAGCCAAAATCCCAAATACTATACAACGTAACAAGCACTTCCCTGCTGCAGGGATCCATTTTCTAACCTATAACAAGGTGCCAGGTGCAGACGCAGCTCCACTGTGTTATTGGTGGCTTCAAACTTCTCGCTGTAATAGAAACATGTTTTGAGTAATGATTCATATCAAAAATTTGTCAGGTTTGCCCGGCTGCACCTTCCTCTCTTCTCTCTTTCTCGCTCTAGTCTGCTCCTTCTCACTGATTCTCTTGAT